TCTTTTGAGTACTAGAATTCTTTCATCTGATTTCTAGAACTCAAGTTATGATGCTGACAAGTTACAGGTCCTCAGATGAATGTGATTTTAGTCAACAAAAGTCATCCAATTTCCAAGCCAATTTTGACCTAGAAGTATGTTTCTCCTTACTTTGACCCAAACATGAAAGTTATTCCTCATGATCTTAGATTTCCAAAGAGTACTAGAAGTCTTTCATCTAATTTGTAGAACTCAAGTTATGAGGCTTGCAAGGCAGGGGTATTTTGGGAAAGTAAGATTACAGGTCATTTTCATTATAGGTCCATTTCACTATCTTGCACACTTCAAATGAAACATTTATCAACATGAAACTTGCTCCAAATGGGGTCATTTGCTCCACCAAACATCAAGGAACCATTGATTTGGCTTAGATGGAAGATTGGATGAAGGAATTGCCATGAAAAAGTCATTAAAAACCCAAAAATCAAATTAAATCATATTGGACCAATTTTGTGCAAGTTTGTGCATATTTTGAGTGCAAATCACATTCTAAACACAATGGAATATTCAAAATTGCAAGTTGAGGTCCAAAACCATGCCATTTTCAAGCTTACTTCAAGTGAAAGTAACAAATGCAAATCATACCACAAGATTAAATTGAGGAGCAATTCTTGTCCCTTGGATCAATACTCATTACCAGCAAGCTACCTGAGCTAAGTTTGAAGGCATTGTAGCTCTCTTTTCACGTGTTGGAAGCTTGCCAAGTGAGGAAATTTTGGATTTGCAATTAGGCTAAGCAAGCTTTAATTGGGCTTCAAAGTGATCAGTATCCATCATATTTAACTTTAGGATCATGGGCAAGTCATCAGAACAAATTTTGGATGAAAATTGAGAGAGAAAGCAGTGGGAGAAAGTAAGAGAAAAGTGAAATTCGAATTTGGAGATTCATCAAGATTCAAGGCAAATCAAGCGCATCTAAAGTTTCAGGGAGGATTGTGGAGTGATTCTAGTTTATTTCCAGCAATTTTCATCAAGGTTTGAAGGCTCAGTGGAAGCTCCCTACTATGCAACCTTCAATTCAAATTTTCTCTCTGTATGTGATCCAATTGAATGCCATTTTTGCATGATAATGACCTAGGAACTGTGTAGATCAATTCTAACTAAAATTGACCGGCATTGGTGATGGTTTGTGATTTGAGCTCCAAACTGTTTATCTTCGATTTGCTTTATTCATGGACTGAAAATTAAAGTGAACCTTGGATTTGAGTTGTGTGAAGCATGAGGAATCGATTGGTGTAAGAATTTTTGTGTTTCATGAGTTTTTTTAAGTGGCCACTGTTCTTCGTGGCCGGAGAAGATGACCGGAGGGAATCCGACCACCATCTGGTTTTCCCTCTTTTGTTTCATGTTTAAATGTTGAAGATGATGTGTGGCTTGTTTATGTTAGTTGGACCCATGGATTGTTTGACTGGTATGTGTATTTATGGCTGAGATCATTCCTTGGATTGGTTGACTGACTTAGTGGATATGGGCATCATTGCTTTACGCACCCCCTCACAACCAAGCCCAGTCAGTTTACACGTTATTGGATTGCTATTTGCACCTTGAATGTGTTTATTTTATTTTATTTTATTTTTTATTTTTGTTTTGCATCTGTTTGGATGCAAACAAAAATTATCCTGAAGCAAAAAATGTAACATACGGTCAATTTCCAACAAAGTATGTGTGGAAACCTGAAGAACATAAATGGGTTCCACGAAAACAAGGATTTGCAATTGGAAGACTTCATTTTGTGCCCCCTCGATCTGGTGAGATAGTTTATTTGAGGACTTTGTTGGATTATATGAAGGGGCCTACATCTTTCAAACAAATAAAAACAGTTAATAATGACACAAAAGACTTTTAAGGAGTCCTGCTTTGCATTGGAATTTTTGGATGATGATAAGGAATACATAGATGCAGTTGTAGAGCCAAGCCAATAGGGTACAGGAGAATATTTGCACCTATTGTTTGCAACTTTATTAATATCAAAACAAATATCCCGACCAGATTTTGTTTGGAATAGCACTTTGGAGTATTTGTGTAATGATATTTTACATAAGCAAAGACGCCTTTTGCAAGTTGAAGGTAATTTTCATATTAATTTAAAATGGTTTTTTTTATGTATTATGTATCTTGCTTAGTAGTTAATTTATTTCAGTTAATTACATATTCCATTCTGATTTTAGATTTGGTCTTGACTCTCGATCAACTGAAAAACTATGTTTTAGCTGAAATAGAGACATTCTTGAGAAGTAATTACAAGAGTTTGAAACATTATCCTGAAATGCCTCAACCAGACATGTCATTAATACCCAAGACAAATAATAGATTGATTTATGATGAATTGAACTATGACAAACAATATTTGGCTGAAGAGCATTGTAGATTGATGTCATCAATGACTATTGAGCAAAAAGGAATATATGATCGTGTCATGAAAAGGGTAAATGAAAAGAAACCAGGAATTTTTTTCCTTTATGGCTATGAAGGAACTGGAAAGACTTATATTTGGAGGTCAATGTCAGCAACATTAAGATCAAAGGGTGCCATTGTTATAACAGTAGCTTCAAGTAGGATAGTTGATTTGCTTATTCTAGGAGGGAGAGTTGCACATTCAAGGTTTGCCATACCTATAAATGTTGATGAATGCTCAACATGCGAAATTACTCCAAAAAGTGATTCGGCTGAGTTAATAGCCATGGAAAAGATGATCATATGGGATGAAGCACCAATGATGCATAAGCATTATTTTGAGGTTGTTGATCGCACATTAAAGGACATTCTTCGATCTTATAATAATGGAAATTTAGATATTCCATTTGGTGGAAAAGTAGTTGTTTTGGGTGGAGATTTTCGCAAAATCCATCCTGTCATACATAAAGGAACCAAACAACACGTTGTTCATTATACTATAAATTGTTCATCTCTTTGGAATTTTTGTGAAGTTCTTACATTAACTACAAACATGAGACTTTTAACTGGAAGTTCAAACTCTGACATTGAAGAAAGAAATGTATTTTCTGAATGGATTTTAGGAATTGGTGGTGGAAGTATTGGAGAAATAAATGATGTAAATATAACAGTCAATATACCACATGATTTGCTCATTCCAAGTTTTAGTGATTCAGTTGCCGCTATTGTTCATACCATATATCCAAACCTTTTTCATAATATGTCTGACGAAACAAATTTTCAAGATAGGGGTATATTGGCTCCTAAAAATACAATTGTTGACTCAACCAATGATTATATGCTGGATTTAATAAGTGAAAAAGAAATAATATATTTGAATTTTGATTCTCCCTATTATAAGAACTCAAATGTTGACATCCCAGATGATGTGCACACTTCTGAACTTTTAAACACAATTGTTTCTTCTGGACTTCCAAATCACAAGTTAAGATTAAAAGTTGGAGTACCGGTAATATAATTGAAAAATATTGAACAATCTTTAGATTTGTGTAATGAAACAAGGTTAATAATTACAAAACTTGAAAAACACGTCGTTGAAGCAAAGGTCATATTGGGAAGCAATATTGGTCAAAAAATTTATATCCCAAGATTATCATTGACTCCTTCTGATAAAAAAATCTCTTTCAAATTTCAACGACGTCAATTTTCCTTAGTTGTTTCATTTGCAATGTCTATCAATAAAAGTCAAAGGCAGTCACTCAAACATGTTGCAGTATATCTACTACAACCAATTTTCTCTCATGGACAACTATATGTTGTTATATAAAGGGTTACTTCAAAGAAATAGTTGAAGATATTGGTGACTAGTAATAAATGTGAAGATATAGATACAACATCAAATGTAGTTTACAAATAAGTTTTTAGTAATATTGTTTAGTTAATTAATTTTTCTTTCTTTCAATTTTATATATTTTCAATTAGTATAGTAAATTATTTTCTAATTTATTATCTTTTACCGTAAATGGCTTACATAATCTAAATGCCTATAAAATTATTCTATACGCAAATAAATATTTAATTATCAACTATTATATATAAAGTATAGATTTTTTTTCTAATATACCTGTGTCAGCATTCTAGTTATGTAATATTAAATACTTATGAATTAGAAAAAAATAATGACCTAATACAATATGGAATTTTTCACTGTTAAGTGTAAATAATATTACATAGATATTCAATTAAAATATTTTAAATTGTTAAGTCATATCAATATTTTAAAATAAAAAGCGCCATTTAACAGAAAGTATATCAATATATATTCTTTATTCTCATTTCAAAATTTTATGTTTATTAAAATAACTTATTAGAATTTATAATGTATGGATTAAAATAACTAGACTTATTATAATTTATAATATATGAATATCAATATCAATATTGATAAAAAAAATTGGATACACAGATTTCAATCCGCTAAATGTCACTAATTCATATTTAATAAAGTGGATTCCAATCATAAAATTACTTTAAAAAAATAAAAATAAAATCTACTGATCCTCTCTCTATTACTAGTAAAATTTATTTATTTAACTTTTAAAGTTCACATATATATATATATATATATATATATATATATATATATATATATATATATATATATATATATATATATATATATATATATATATTAACATTAATATATCAAAGTCCAACTTCTCCTAGACATGAATATTTAATATCAAATGAATATTAAATTTTCAATAATTATTTGGACTTAATTGAAAAACAAGAAAGCGTATGCAATATTTGGGCTTACTTAGAAAAGAAGCAATCGTTTGCGTCAGCCGAACCAAAATCAACCAATCAAATTGAAAATGAATTCAAATATTGTAAACTATAAAACCCTTTAAAACCCTTTAAAACCCTATAAAACCCTAACCCTCTTCCACTCAACCACCGTCTTTAAAACCCTATAAAACCCTAACCCTCTCCCTCAAAAACCCTATAAAACCCTAACCCTCTTCCACTCAACCACCGTCTAAACCCCCTTGTTGATTGTAGCAATGTTAGGTTTATCTCTTTTATACCGTTATTTTGATCCGAAGCAGAATAAAATTATTTTTCCCGAGTTTTTCCGGCTGCCAAAACGGAAGAATAGGATTAGTTTTCAGGAATTTAGAAGCAAGTTTCTGGAACCAGGTTTAGTTCATCATATCGTTGTTTCCAAAAATTTTGCCAAAGTATATGTTAAGAACTCTTATCTTAATCAAACAGAAGGCAGTGGTGGCAGTGGTGGCAAATATCAATGTTATTTCAAAATTGCAAGTGCTGATTCTTTTGAGTTGAGATTAGAGGAAGCACAAAAAGTGCTAGGCATTGATCCTCGTGATTTTGTACCTGTTATTTATTCTTCTGGAATTATGGAAATTATGGATTTGCGTTTATTCGTAATACTTTCCATATTTCTCTTGCATATGTTTGTCATTAGGGGTAAGGGTTTTAGTGGGTTACTTAACCTTAATGGAGGACATGTTATCAAAGGAAACCAGAATCATAATAACAAGGTTGGTAATGATTAATGTTTTATATGTGTTTTTTTTATAACAGAATGTTTTTCTTATTTAGAATTCATTTTGTTCAGGTCTATTTTAAAGATGTGGCTGGCTGTGATGAGGCAAAGCAAGAGATTATGGATTTTGTTCACTTTCTCAAGAATCCTAAGAAATATCAAGAGCTTGGTGCCAAGATTCCAAAAGGGGCTCTTCTGGTGGGTCCTCCGGGTACGGGGAAGACCCTTTTAGCTAAAGCAACTGCAGGGGAGTCTGGCGTGCCGTTTCTTTCCATGTCTGGTTCTGATTTCGTGGAAATGTATGTTGGTGTTGGAGCATCTAGGATGAGAAACTTGTTTAAAGAAGCAAGGAAGTGTGCTCCTAGTATAATATTTATTGATGAGATTGATGCGATTGGTCGGTCGAGGGGTGGCCGTTCAAGTGAGGAGCATGAAAATACTTTAAACCAATTGTTGGTGGAGATGGATGGTTTTGGAACCACGGATGGAGTTGTTGTTATGGCAGGTACAAATAGAGTTGACGTATTAGACAAAGCCTTGCTTAGGCCTGGCCGTTTTGATCGCACAATAACTGTCGATAAACCTGATGTCAACGGCCGTGACCAGATATTTCAGATATACTTGGGAAGGATCAAACTTGACCACAAGCCTTTAGATTATTCACAAAGGCTTGCATCCCTTACGCCAGGATTTGTTGGAGCAGACATTGCTAATGTTTGCAATGAAGCTGCTCTGATTGCTGCAAGGACGGAAGACGCCCGTGTCACGATGAATCATTTCGAGGCAGCTATTGATAGGATCATCGGTGGCTTGGAGAAGAAGCACAAGGTAATAAATAAGCTGCAAAGGCGTACCGTTGCTTACCATGAAGCAGGCCATGCTGTTGCAGGTTGGTTCTTGGAACATACTGAGCCATTGTTGAAAGTAACTATTATTCCCCGCGGAACAGCAGCTCTTGGGTTTGCCCAGTATGTTCCGAATGAGAACCTTCTCATGACAAAGGAGCAGCTTTACGATAGGACTTGTATGATCCTTGGTGGCAGGGCTGCTGAAAAGGTTCTTATTGGGACAATCTCTACAGGAGCACAAGATGACTTGGAGAAAGTCACCAAGATAACATATGCTCAAGTAGCCGTCTATGGTTTCAGCGAAAAAGTTGGCCTCCTATCTTTCCCTCAGAAAGAGGGCTCGTATGAGACGTCTAAACCATACAGCAGCAACACTGGTGCAATCATTGATTCTGAAGTGCGAGAATGGGTGAACAAAGCATATGAACGCACCATAAAACTTATTGAGGAACACAAGGAGAAAGTAGCTGAAATAGCAGAGTTGCTACTCGAAAAAGAAGTACTTCACCAAGATGACTTGCTCCCAGTCTTGGGCGCGCGACCCTTCAGGAGTGCTGAAGTCACTAATTATGACAGATTTCATGAAGAGAAGGTTGTAGAAACCACCATCGATAGAGCCTGAGGCCGTTCTCTCATAGTTGATTAAGTTTATGTTCATTATATTTTCGTTACTACTATACATGATTTTCTAGTTTTATTGCTCTTTTATTGGTTTATTAATTCTTGTACACTTAGTAACAATTGCACTTGCTGTGAAAAAAGTGTCAATTTAAAGGTTAAGTAGTTTCCTGGAAAATGTTGCTAAAAAATAATTCAACATTTTGGTCACTTTTTAACTCTTATATTGATAAGGTCAACTTGGTTAGAATAAGTATTCTGTTGTGTAGGGTTGTTAGCACTTTGATTCACTTTGATTCAATCTTTGTTAGTTCTTATTTTCTAGCTAAGTGGAAGGATAGTTAATTGATGTAATAGACTATATATTCAATAAAAAAAAAGAGTTAAAAAGGAAAGAGGGAATGTTAATGGATTAAAAGCTAAACCCCTAAAAAAAGCCTTTTTATTCGGGATTGTGCGATTCAGTTCTATTTTAATTGATGTCATTTTCTATTATTCAATAAAGCAAGTCATTTATCAAATTTGTTCTAACAATCCAATATCATAGCTTAACTTAATAAAATTAAAAATAAAAAAAAAGGAAAGAGGGAGAGAGTTTGTAAGTAATTATGCAATGGAAATAATAATTTTTCTCAACCTTCTATTTAACACTGTGCTGATCAAGAACCTAAGAGATTTTACCACAGGGTAATCTCCAACCTAAAATAGAACTGAATCGCACAATCCCGAATAAAAAGGCTTTTTTTAGGGGTTTAGCTTTTAATCCAAAAAATCTCTAAATGGATGTTATTCAACCAAGGTGTATACAAAAGATTTCCTCAGTGAATTTACAATTCTAACCTTTCTAGAATTACTCATGGATGCTTGAAAAGTGAATGAGGAATTAGTAAGCCCAAATGGCATCACAGAATATTTGTAATGACCATAGAAAGTTCGAAAAGTAATCTTATGTGTATCTTCCAACCCTAATCGGATGATAGCCACAGTGTAAATATATCGTAGTAAAAATTGATGTAGCACCGAGCTCATCCAATAATTCATCAATTATGGGGATGAGAAACTTTTATTTTATTGTAACAACATTGAGGGCCCTATGTCGTACCTAAAAAAATATGATCCTCGCAGAAAAACGTTCGAACAGAGTCGCCACTGAACTTTATTCATTCCAAGGAAGAAATAGGAAAATATCGATAAAACCTTTAAAGAGATAAGAACATGGTCATCGCAACCAAATTCTAGGTTTGGGGGTCAATTACGTAAAAGGAAAGTATTAGTACCCTCTATGTCCGTTGCACTTAACGGGAACCTCTTGATTCGATTCGAGAGAAAAGTTAGCTAGGTTGTTTGTCTTCTTTTAAGGATTCGCTTTTAAGGGGAAAATTGGTGGTTTTTTATTAGGGTGCTCGCCAAGGATTGGGGCCCTTGTGCCTATGTACTCCCTCGTGCAATAGAAAAGTTAGAGCAACGTAGTTTATGGGGCTACAAGAGGTTTGGAATAAAAGAAAAGGTAGCTCGTTAGGATCTCACAATCCTATGCCTACGTACCCTCATAGTACAATGAGGAAATCTGAGAAATCATAGTTCAGACGACTATAGTTGGTTGGTTCGTGTCTTTAAACAAACGAGTGTTTAGGTCGTGTTCTAACTGGTAAACGTTAGTTTGTCTGCTTGCTTGGGGAGGCTGAAGTACTAGTTCATATACGCAGAAGAAAGGACTAAACAATGTTCTTTGCAAAAGTTGTTTGAGTGGATTAAAGGGTATTAGGGTTTTAATTAAGAAAAGAGGCTTGATTTGAATAGTTTTAAGGGTTTCGATTGTGCGGGAGCGAGAAAACGATATTTGATTTGTTTAGTATTTTGAGGGAGAATGGCGATTATTCGATAAACGAGATGTCAGCCTTGCAACCAATTAATCGGGGTATTATTGGAATGCTAGATCTCAGCGACACCTTTTTCATTCGATTAACTATGAAATCGTGTTTTTTAGACAACGAGCGCCTTTGTCTAAATAACTAGGGCAAGTATTTTAGGAACGAAAGGACGAGTGACCCACATCCCGGGGCGTGCACCCCAAGAGCAATCACTCAAGAATCCAAGGAATGCGAGACTCCAAGAACTCTGTTCTTTCGTAATTTAATTCAGGAAAATGATTTTAATATGATATGGTATTTTGATTAGATTTGTAAGGTATTTTAAATGGATTGAGGACTTTAGAAATGCAGGATCGAAAGGATCATAACCCAAGGCGTGCGCCTCAAGAGCAATCTTTCAAGAACCCAAGAAGTCATAGACCTCAATGTCGTAGTGATAATTGGATATCAAGCAATTGATTAACTTGAACCGCAAATCATTATTCACCACCGATTTTTAATTCGTTCAAGGGAAGGGCAAAAGATCGAATAACCCATGAGCATGCAATGCAATGCAAAACTAGAGAAACTAAGGTTCGAGGGTTGGTTATACCTAGGGAAGATGCTAGCATCGTAAGTATCTGTAGTATTCTATAGGAACCTCTTGTTTTATTGTGTTATGATTATTTGTATGCTAAAGGGTGAAAAGGTAAAGGGAGACCTAAGGGTTTATTTCTAAGTATATTCGCCAAGAAGTCGCATCTTGTGCCTACGTATTCTGATGGGAATGGAATCAGAGCATTCGTAGTTCCCCTAAAGGGATTGAGAAACTTTTGACTGTGGTCAAGGTTCCAGGGGGAGAAAGTTTGTTGATTGATTATAGTAGAAGAGACAAGTCGTCATCTTAGGGAGAATACTCGACTTAAACCGCCACAAATATACAAAAGACGGTCTTTGTGTCGCATTGAGAGAATGGCTCCAACTCAGATTTAATCAACGAGTATGCCACATACCTCTCTCAAGCAAAAGAGATTCTACATCTTTCTTGGTTATGTTATAGGGTAGGAGAATCATATCTTGGCTACATAGATGAATCATGTCTAATTCTCTCGTGGGAGAATAAGTGATTTAATCTGACAAACTATCTAAGTTAACTTAAGGGAATCTACCTTAAGATATAAGGAGTATCTAAGCTGATCAACCTTGAAAAGTCAGGGATCAAGTAGGGGAAATGATGCAAGTGGAGATATTCATGACTATGGAGTCAAGAACAAAGCCCTTCACTTGGACATAGATTCAAGTACTAAAGGGTACAGATAGAAGCATTAAGCATACACTAATTGGAAATCAAAGAATTCAAAGAAAGAAAGAAAAAGACCAAGAAATTGGCTAGAGGAACTATAATCAAAATAGAATACATGTGTTTCAATCAAGATTGACGTTAGGATTAAACCAAACCACGGCCAAAAATTACCTCTCAGCATACCCGAAATCAATATTAATATCGAAAATCGAAACCAACAAACACAACTAACATTTACTTCAAGCGAGGTTCGATCAATTAGAATCGTGATTAAAACTTTAAACAATCTTAAAATCCAGATTTGAGGCTTAACTCCAAATTTTAAGATTAACATTCGGAAAAAGAAAAAATAAAACCTAAATAAAAATTAGTAATTTCAAAAGAAAAACAAGAGTAAAAAACAAAAGAAATGGGGTGCATTAAGAAACCAGGTTGTTACCATCATCATCCCTTTTAAAAAAAGAGGGCTCGGTCCCAAAAACTCAATAACAAACACACACAAAAACAAAAACAAAAACGAAGAAAAGCAAAGTGAAACAAATCCCTCACGATTCGATTCCCTTTTCTCCAAACCCTCGTTCTCCGCTCTCCCGCTTGGTTTTCTGGTGAATTCTCCTCTTGATCGGCAATTTAGTAGTCTAAATGTTTCGTGACTGCAAGTGCATAGTCTGATCGTGTAGTTTTAAAAGATTATCGAACTCAAAAGACCAAGAGTCGATCTACCGCTATCTAATGCTACTATGTAAAGCTAAGGTTAATGAATTTCTAATTTTTGGGGTGCGAAAAATAAAATAAGTGTCGAATTAAAATATTAATTAAAATAGGATATTGCTAAATATCGGTATACAATCTTTATCAATCATCAGAGGGTTCGGTAATTAAAACTAATCTAAAAACTTATTATTTGGGTGCTTTCATTTAAACCAATATAAAGCATCATCGCGTAAAATGCAGCTAATGGTAAATGATTTTAATGTGGCAATTGATAACAAATTTTATAAAAAAAATTGTTTTGCTTTAAATAACTAATCTAAAAGGCCAGAACTATAAGACACATCAAACTCCAATTTTGGTGTACAAATGAGGTTTGTTTGATATTTTGGAGAGTTTGTGGTGAGAAGTATTGATGAAAAATAGGAAATATTATAGAGAGGCGGATTAGAAAATACATTTGGAGGATTGATGTGTGTGGATCTCATAAATGGTGGAAAAGGAAACGGGACGGTGGGTAAGTTGTAGTGTTTCTCATAGGAGCAGTAAAATTAGATTAAGTCTAGTTATTGGAAAATGTAATAGTCCAAGTAAGGATTAGACTAACATGGGTAAAAAAATAAGGGTAGTAAAAGCATGCTCATAATCAGGAGAAAATTGAGTGTTGGTACGTATACTTGAAGAAAATGTTGTTATATGAACAATGCTGGTTTGTTGTAGCCCACTTTGAGCCATTAAATTTTGTGAGAACAGTCATGAACAATTCATGTCTTAAATGTTAAACTTCTTGTTGATTATATTTTCTAGTTTGGATATTTCCCAATTGATATTTTAAATTGGGATTTGATTCATGAAGCCTCTCGTCCATTCGATGATGTGTATGACCGATTGTATTTTAAGTCTTATAAGTTGACCTATTTTAGATATCGTCAATAAAAAAAGAAAAAAAAAATCTTTTAAACCTTATAGTCGATCTATTTTAAGCCTAATTTGAATATCGTCAATATGAAGAAAAAAACCTTTTAAATCTTATAGGTCTATCTATTTAAATAAATATGTAATTTTTTCATTATCATTATATTATATTTTTTACTTTAAATTAAAATACATTGATTATCTTGAAAAACTTAAGAAAATAAG